GTGTGTCGGTGTGTGTCGGTGTGTGTCGGTGTGTGTCGGTGTGTGCGTGTGGGTGTCGGTGTGTGCGTGTGGGTGTCGGTGTTGGGTGTGTGTGGGTGTGTTGGTTCTCTTTGCCCCCTTTCCCTACCCCTCCCTCCGTCTCGTACTCGCCATCGAGCGAGAGTCCAAAAGCATTTCGCGCGTGTGTCCATATTCACACCACGCTGCGACTGTGTGCAGGTGATTCATCGCGATCTGAAACCAAGCAACCTCTTCATGACAAACGACCTCGATATCCGCCTTGGTGCGTTTGTAACGTGCATGATGTTTGCATATGTGTGTGTTTACATGTGTGTGTGTGTGTTTACATGTGTGTGTGTGTTTACATGTGTGTGTGTGTTTGCATGTGTATGTGTGTGTGTGAGCCCCTTCCCTTGATGATGTTTCATATCACACCCTTTGTCGCTCACATCCGTTCCTTCATCTATCCTCACCACCACCACCACCACCACCACCACCACCACCACCACCATCACCACCACCACCACCACCACCACCACCCACGCTCACTCTAGGCGACTTTGGTGTGGCCACTGTGATGGAGGGCGCAAAGACCAAGACCCGCACGACCGTCGGTACGTTGCACCTTACCTGCATGACACGACATGGCACGACACGACACGACACGGTACCACATACATGCACTGCGCACTAACACCAAACCACCACAACCATCACCACCACCATCACCACCATGATTTCATGATTGCCTGCAGGCACGATGAATTACATGGCGCCCGAGGTGCTCGAGCGGCCATACAACGAGAAGTCGGACATCTGGTCTCTCGGATGCATTGTCCTCGACGCAGCAACATGCGGCTTCCTTGACGTTCGTGCCGGCCAATCATGATCATGATGCCGAGTGATGGTGGAGATGGTGGTGCCAGTGGGAGTAGCACGCTCGTGAGTGGGGACTGCATGTGTATGTGTGTATACTTGTGTGTATGTCCACTCATATGAGACTTCCTTGTGGGCGCTATTCCATGCACATGTGTCACTTCCCTCATACCCTATGTGCATGATTGTGTGTATGAATGACTGTGTGTTTTTGCGTGTATGTATGCATGTGCGCGTGTGTGAGCAGCACGGTCAGGCGCAGTCGCTGCTGTTTGAGGTGAAGCACAAGCCGCACCGACTGGAGGAGGCGCTCAAGGAAGTTGAGCGCTCCTACTCAAAGGACCTCTGCCAGGTGACCCTTTGAATCATGAATTCTGTGTGGCGGGATGCATGGCACTCGTGCACCTCCGTTCCCCGCCGTTGCAAAGTCTCTCTGTCTCCCCTTCTACTCCCCCCACCACCACCGCCACCATCGAAAATCACATCACCACCATCGACCATCGCATCACCACCACCCAATATCACATCACTACAACTCCCTCTCTTCTCCTCACTCCCTTCTCCTCCCTCCCTCCCTCCCTTCTCATCCCACAGACGATCCGAACGATGCTGCGTCGCAACTTTCACCAGCGGCCGTCGGCGGTGGAGCTTGTCCAGCTGCCCTACATCCGCTCGTGCCTCCAGCTCTCCCAGTCCGCCCTCGTGCGTACCTTGGTCCTTGCTCGCACCCTGCTGCTGGTTGCGTGTGATGATGATGATGATGATGCTATGTGATTGCTTGTTCGTCGTTGTTAAGTTGTTGTTTAAGTTGTTGTTTAAGTTGTTGTTGTTGTTTACGTTGTTGTTGTTGTTGTTGTTCTCCTCCTCTCTTTCTCCCTCTATTGCGTACGTTGCCCGTTGCCAACCACCCTGCTGCCTTTTCCTTGCTCACTCTTGTCTCCAAACAGGTCGAGGGCCAGAGCACTGCCAGCCACCAGACGGATGTCAAGCCAACCACCACAAAGCGGTCTGTTGCGCGTGCACGTATGTGTGCGAATGTTTTCAAGAGAGAGAGTGTGTGTGTGAGAGAGAGAGAGAGAGTGTGTGTGTGTGCATGTGTTTCATGACAAGGCCAGCATTCCGTCACGATCATCACACCAGTTGCGCGTCATCTTACATCGCCTCCGCCCCCAAACAAATTACCCTGTCCACCGCCGCCACCATGACGGGCAGCATTCCAAACAAGCTGCCTGAGATTGCAGAGTTCCTTGAGACCAACTTTGACCGCATCGGATGCCAGGTCCGGTTACGAGTGGGCGTCAGACGCGCACAAACATGCACACGTACACATACACATATGCACACGCACACGTACACATGTGCACACAGCACACACACACATATGCACACGCACACACACACACACACACACACACACACACACACACACACACACACACACAACACCACACCACGCGCACAGTGCACTCATTCACCTGTGCCCAACTGCGCGTCAGGTTGCGGGCCTTGAGGAGGCGGCAAACGTGGCGGCGGCAACGGGTCCTGTTCCCCGCGGCGCTCTTGTGGATCGCATCCACAAGGCCATGAACAAGTTTGTCAACAACATCTTCGTCCAGATTGCAGGTCTGCTTTGGCTGCGGGGAGTTTGGGCCGAAATTTGGATGGTTGTGTGTGTGTGTGTGTGTGTGTGTGTGTGTGTGTGTGTGTGTGTGTGTGTGTGTGTGTGTGTGCGTGTGTGTGTGTGCGATGTCAAAGCTGCCTGCACATGTGTGTGTTTGTGTTTGTGACATCATCGGATGCGTGACAACTTCCCGTTTGCTGCGTGCAGGCATGGAGTGCATCAAGAGCCTGGCCGCTGCCGACGAGGGCGAGCCAGAGGTCAGAGGTTCCGTGTTTGTGTGTGTATATGTGTGTGTGTGTGTGGTGCCTCACGTCTTAAACCCTGGTGTTATGTGTTCGTGCCCACCTTCTTGCTATTTCAAGTGCGTTGCTATCTGTCGTTCCAATTCACCACCACCACCACATGTCATCCAAAACCTGCCTTTGGCGTGCGCAGGTGCGGAGTGAGGAAGTGATCAAGCCGGTCCTCATTGCCATGCGCTCTCACCCCGGCTCCAAGGAGCTGCAGAAGGCAAGTGCTCATGCAATTCCCAACACTGTGGCAGGATGAGGGGTTTTGTGCGTGGAAGGTGTGCCACATTGGTTTATGTGATCGCTGTTGCGCACTTGCTCGCTTGTTTTCAGTCGCGCCTTTTTCACAACGGCACATTTGCATGTTCGCATTCGTCTCGTTCCTCACACAACTGTTTGCCCAACACTCCCTTGCCCCCTTCTCCTATCCCCAACACCACTCCTTCCAATCATGTTTGACCACCACATTTCGCCCCTGTTGTCGCATGTTGTTCGTCGCATGTTGTTCTTTGCACGTGACAGCTGGCGTGCGAGACGATCATTGCCATCGCGTCCACGGAGGACTACGCCCAGGCCATTGGCCAGGTCCGCTGCCTGCCGTGTGTACACCCGTGTGCAAAGCACGATCATCACGCATGCTTGGTGGCTGTATTTGGCATCAATGCTCGCTTGCTTGCGCCCTCCTCCTTGTCTGTTTCCTGCTTTCACGTGCCTGCCCACCTGCCCTCAAGTACCTGCCACGCTCACACTCCCCTCGTCTTCACCCCTCTCCCCTCTTATCCCTTCGTTCTCTGCCCTGATCCCTTCGTTTCCACCACACCACCTCTCGCCTTCACACGAACGCCATCATGGCCGCGGCGCAGTATGGCGGAGTGCAGGATGTGCTGATTGCGCTGCGGGACAACGTCAACGACGCCAGCATCGCCGAGCAGGCCTGCCGCGCCCTCTTCAGCCTCACCGTCTGTGGTCAGTGATTGTGGTGGTTGGTTGGTTGGTTGATGGGTATCTGCCTTGCCATTGCGGACACATCACACACACGCACGCACGCATGCACACATACACACACATACACACACACACCGGCACTTGCTTGCACTCTTTCTTATTCTCACACCACCCAAACTGTTCTCACACCGCTACCGCCACCACCTCCGCTGCCGCGACTGCTGCTGCTGTTGTGCAGAGGAGAACGGGATGATCATTGCTGAGGAGCGCGGGCTGGAGGATGTGCGCAGCGCCATGGAGTCGTTCATCGACAATCCGACATTCATGACCGCAGCTGCTTCCGTCCTCTGGTCAGCAACCCCGCAATGCTAACACACACACACACATTCACACGCGCGCACACACACACATTCACACATTCACACACACATACACATTCACACATTCACACACACGCACACACATTCACACACGCACACACATTCACACATACATGCACACGCGCAAACCTACTCACGCTTTTACGAATGTTGCCGCTGCAATGTTGTTCGCCACGCTCACTTCAATCACCACCGCCACCGCCACCGCCGTTGTTGTCACATCACGTGAACAGGACGCTGTCTGCGATTGACGAGCTGGTCGATGCGATTGTCGAGCTCAAGTGCATCTCCCTCATGACTGTCGCAATGGCAAACCACGTCGAGGTACGCACAGCGCCCCTCCGTGCGATGACACGGACGTGCGTGTTTGTGTGCATGTGTGTGCATGTGTGTACATGCATGTGTGCACACATTTATGTACGAGTTTCTGTGTGCGTGCGTACTTCGCGACATAGTTCACCCAATTGCGCGCATGCTCTTCACACTTCCTGCTTTCCCCTCACACGTCATCTTGATTGCCTGCCCTCATTCCTCTTGCTTTCCCTCTGTTGTTCTCCCGAACAGAATGCAGATCTTGTGCGCGAAACGCTCAATGCCCTCGGCAGTCTCGTCGTTGACGGTCTGTCATTCCTGTTCGAAATGAGCACATGCAAGCAATACTGCATGCACATGCACGCATATGCTCAATCTGCGCACAAATTTGCACACACACGCATCGCACGCACGCACGCACGCACACACGCATGCACACACGCACGCACACACGCACGCATACACGCATGCACACACGTGCACAGATGCGCGCACACTCGCGTACACCTGCAGCTAACACATGCATTTCCTATCTTGCAGAGATGTGCGCGTATGCGTTCTGCGACCGGGACGAGA